CCGGGAAGGAGAAAGCTAAATGGGAAGTCATGTTCGCCTGGAAATTTGAGTTAGAATCTTGAAAACAAAATAGGGGAAAATGCAATGCACTAATATGTACCTTTTCGAAGAGTAGCTGGACCTTGAAGGAAATTCCAGGTAGTTAAATCATTTGATTGATGAGCACATTCATGGCAATGCGCATGAAATGGCTTCTTTTGCGTAACCTCCAATGCCAATCGCATCTTGAATGACTCAATTGCAAACTTCTCATCGTGAATATGTAATTTTAATTGTCCAGACAGTAATGCGCCGGTACTCGAAACTGTAGAACCATAAAGAACTAACGGTGGTGACTCAATGGCACAATCAAGAGTTGCGCCATGATATATAGGAACTGTTCTCGAAGGTGTCTTTGGCGAATGAAGACCAGGTATTGAGATACGTTTGTGAGGAAGGGAAAGATCAGGCATCTTTGTTCCTTTATCTTCTGTGATAGAAGAGGCTGCTGAAGATGGTGTACGACTTTTTAAGGATGGTCTACTGTTTGAATTCCTTCTTGGACCTTTCTTTCCTTCAGTTGGTAGGTCAAATGGATGCGAATGAGATCGAAAGAAGGAAGTGACGTGCTGCATAGTAGTTGCCGGCATGGTGGGGTTTTTGGTGGCGTCTTTGACAGGGAAAATAAACTTTTTTTTCAATGACCTGCTTTTCTGCACAACAGTATTAAAAACTGCTTCTAGTATTAAACTTTCATTCGTGTTGGAGATTGTCAAGTTGGAAGAGATCGTTCAAAAAGTAGATGGGGATTAAGAGTAATAGGTAGAAGGTGAAAGAGAGTCGGAAATCTTTTTTTTTTTTTGGGTAGCGTGAACGTTATGAGAAAAAAGAAGATGATGTAATAAAGTATTTTAAGTATATAAGTATACTTGATATAATTTAATTAATTCTCTTTGTTAGAATGAGTAGATGAGATTGTGTTGTATAGGTAGGTAGGTATATAATTTGTGTGGGATGAGATGGTGAATGGAATATTATATTTGATATCAAACACCTTGTTGGAGGAGGCGGAAAGGATTTGAGCTATATAAAAATGCGCATACTTTGATATACTAGATATTCAAGGTATCTATCTGCCAGAGCTTGATATCATTGCACTTAGCAAAGTTACACTATTCTAATATCTTACCCATGTTCATCTTCTCCTTACCTCTAAAGGAATTTTATGTGTCAGAGGGATTTCTAGTGAACCAAAATTTGAAGTCCGTGATTGAATTTTTCCCTGGTTACTCATCCCCCCCCTTCCCCCCCCCCCCAAAAATAATAAAAAATTCAAACCCCGATGCCCCTCACATGGGAAAATTCATTTAATCCTTGTCTGTTGGAGGGTCTGTGTACGTTGTGCCTGGCCACACTCCCTCGTACTAAATTTATTATTATGGGGAGAAAATCTATTTTATGTTTGGTCCAGCGTTTGTGTTTCAGCGGTTAAACATCGCATGAGTCGGAATGTTGGACTAGAACAATTGGAATTCTACACCGTATAGTAAGTACCCAGTACTAGGTTGGTAACGAAGAAAATCTTTCTATGAGTGCATTAAGTTTACCTTATGGTCTTATATTTCACATTCATCGGTGAAGCTTTCAGTAGCTCATTTAGGGTTATATTTGAGATCTACTCCGCGTTGATTCAAATTATCTGGAGAACTGAGAATATAGACACCAAGGGATTGAGGGAAGTGTGTACGGTACTGTGTACCGATATATCCGATGCCGATGCCGATGCCGATGCCGTAACTTTACTTACACGCTCCAACCCTTTTTGTTTTCCCTCCTGTTTGTTTGTAGGGAAGATTTAAATTTCCATTTTACGGAGTAGTTAGGCGTTCTTAACAGCTTCCTTGTTGAAAATTACGTTTAGCTTCTTCTGGGGTACGCCCTGTGGATCAGGTACATTCAACGTCAAAGTTTTTTTAAGCCAGTCATTCAAACAGCTGATGAGGAATTTGGGTGATGACTGGTTGATGTGCGTGCCTGTATGGTTGAAGCACGTCAGCAAGTTCATCCTCCTTTTTTCTTTTTTTGGCTTGCATACTACTGTTGCTAGTAGAAAACTCAGGTCTTTGATCCTTGAGCATCAAGCAACCGAGTAGCTGGCTACCTACCTAATATCATAGTGATGTTGTCATTGATTACTTTCCAATCATACTTCCTCACCAATTATACCATATTGCGACTTTTCCAGGCACAATGATGGAAACACAAGGGTTACTTTTAAGATCATTGAGGGATCTCATGCCAAGAGATTCTGATGGATGGAAAGATGTTACGCTAGAGATGAACAAGTGCCTCGAATTGTAGTGCTTAGGTAGTTAGGTATTGGTGGATGACAACCTCCACGAACACGATAAATCAACCCGGGAACGTCGTGTTCGTTCAACGGAGCTATCCTTCCTTACTTTCTGATATTCGTGGCCAATTCCGAAAAACCAATTTAGTACCATGACAACAGTCACAACACGAAGAACACGATGGTGATATCATGTCATGATGATGATAGGGACTTTTTTAATGTGGACTTCGTAATATTCTTAGGACAAAATGCAACCAGTCTACAATGATCACCCATACTCTCTCAGGCCATAGGGCTCAAAGCTCACGCCATCAAATAAAATATGGAGAATCTAGAAGATCATTCAAATCACTTAAGTTTTAACACATGCTTAGGTTATTAGTCGATAAAAACCGAGAATTTCATCAATCAATCAATCAATCATAGTTCGAGTTCGGCCCACTCCGATTTTTGACTTTCTAGTGTCTCTGTTGTCAGGATGATTCGCAACACTGTATGCTTCTAGCCATCAACAACGAACCATCATGGAATTACGCATGATATTATCCTCATGGTGCAATCAATTTCTACACATGCGGAGAAATGATACAATTGAAACCGTCGTAACCCACAGAGTGTGGCGTTCAACATTTGCTTTCTCCTCGGAGAGAGTCATGTGCTCGATGCCTTCAAATTTCATCCTTTATGTCGGGTCTCTGACTTCATGTAATGCATGCGAAAATAACGACAACATGGTAGAATTTTCCACTTACCGTGATACACCGGGAACCTTCATCAACATTTCCAGCCAGAAATTTCAAATTTCAAAAATCGGGAAACAGTTTCCAGATCCGGTCTGATGTGACACAATAGCCGCACAACCATGTGATATCATCGAGTAAGAAAAATCACAATCCGACCAGAAACTGGAACAACGAACCTCCGTCTTCCTTCGTCTCTTTCCACGATTCCAGACCGATCTCTCAATCATCCAATGAAACTCGGAAGTCCATCTAAAATCCCATTTGATCACATTCAATACCTATTACATAACAATAAACCTTCTTTTGTCAAATCCTTCACCACTTTCAAGTTTCATGCCTCGCCTCATCAACATTAAGAGTGGAAAAATCACTGGGAACTGGGAGGTTTGCAGACAAATTCACTTGAGTCTCGATGGGATCCACACACTCTTAAGTATCCACCCGTCAATTTTTCTCAGATCTTCCAAGCTTCAAGTTCCAGATGATACTAAATTAGTAGGAGAAATTTTCAAAAGAATTTTTTGGACTTCCCGTCGCACCCAAGTCTGATTTGTACTCCACTCATATACCGCATGTACCCTCGATTTATACTTTTCTAGTATTCTAGAAGTCTGATGTTTTGCGTACTAAGCATTCTACCGAGAGAAAAAGCGTCTGCATGGCGTGACAAAATATTCCGATTGGATCATGAAAGACACCTTGAAGTCTAATGACTCAGGGGAAAAAATTTATGTATTCCCCGGTTCGGTGCCAACTTCAGATGAAATTTTTCTTTAACCAGCGGGCAAAAAAAAGTTTGGACCTTCCCCTTCTTCTCTTTTCTTTCACCGATCAAGCCCAGTTCTGTGGATCATTGTGCCTCCACAATTAAACGGGAGAGCCGAAATAGGAGGTCTCCCAAAAATCCAGATGGTAAAAGCCTTATTATTTTGCAAGTTTTTGTTGCACGTCTCAAAATTTGAAGCCCATAATCACTATGGAAACGAACGGTGAATATGAAAAATTGGTTGTGGGCTGTGGAGATTTTCTTCTGTGTGCATGGTTGCAATTGACAGATCATGGTGAAACAAAGCTTGAGGTCCGGGCTGGGTGTATGTGGTTCTTTCAAGACGAATGATCACCCATCGTGAATACTTTTCTTCAGTGGTAGGTGGAGAGTATTGTGGGTTAGTAGTCGGATTTTGCAGAGAGGGTTGAAATGGTTTGGGTTTGATGGATCAATTAACGTTGCTGGCATGTTGGAGATGACCGAGTGTGTACTCCGTGTCGTTGTCTTTCTCCACGAGCAAGGGAGTCCAGACGAAAATGAGGAGACTATCGAAGTCGATAGTATTCTCCTACAACGAGATTATAGCCATACAGATCGTCTATGCTCGAGCAGCAGTACTGTGTCTGGGAGCTATAAGAGCCTAATACCAACCGCGACTTGATCAATTCATAATTAATATTGAGTCGTTGCATTTTTTGATTATGTCTGGGAAGGAAACAGAAGCGACAGGAACAGGAGTCCCTTGGGATCAAGTCAGCTAAATCACTAGAAATTCCCCCCCCCCCTCATGTTCTTCAAATTCCTCCAGTTTTTCAAGCGTCAACCCACCACCCGTACCCCAATCTCTACCAGATCCTCAATAATATCACTTTCCCAACCACCACACCTTCACCCACACTTTCCCACATCTCACAACCTCAATCCCAAAAACACATCTCCTCCAAGAACGCACGCTCCCTCCCTAATCATGATTTTCCCTTCCCATTTCCACACTAAGCCCTAAAGCATTTAAAACCCATCTCAAACCCCACCGTCAAAATACCAAACCCCACCGTCAAAATACCAAACCCCACCGTCAAAATACCAAACCCCTCCTCCGACCCACCTGAAAAAGTTACCTTAGTGCAAAAAAATGAGGGGAAAAAAAATGCAATTTTGACCTGCGCAGGATTCGAACCTGCAATCTCTTGATTCCGGACGTCAGAAATTGATGCTGAATGGTCGTAGTCAAGCGCCTTGCCATTGGGCCAGCAGGCCAGTTATTATTGCTGTTTGTTAGTGGAGCGGATGGGTTGAAGGTATATAAAGGGAGGTTTTGGCTGTGACACAGAGAACTAATCCATTTAGTGAATGGAATTTTACACAAACAACTTCACATTATATAGGATTCAATTAAATGAATTAGTGGTGACGTTTTGTTTTCTATCATCTGCCTATCTAGTCGAGGGGTGAATTACCTTTTCTTCTTCTTTCTTCTCTACACCGGGTTTCTTTCTTCTTTCATCCTACTGGTATTATCTTACAAAGTGCACCTTCACTCGGTTTGTTTTTATTTATATAATATAATAAATACCTCTCCGAATTCTCTTCGGACTCTTTTAGTAAAGAAGAAGTAGACTAATTGCATGATTACTTTTTCTCCTCCTTTATCATTCTTCTCATTCTATTCCATTTCTTTTCTAATTCTGATCTTGTATCTTTGATTTTACAGTTCATAAATGATAATATCTCTACAATAAGTTTTGTAGAATTGAAATCTATCAGCTTGGGATTTTCATTATGTGATCTGTTGAGCTGATCGGGGGTGATAATCTTATAATATATTGCTTGTTCACGATCGAGCGTTAACGTTCAGATCCTGCAAGCCCGAACCCCCAAGAGGAAGTTGCGACATTTCCCTCTGTTGCCTCCATCCAATATTCGTCAAGAATTTCGCAGGATGATACACATTAAAGAGAATCAGCACCGGAAGCATCAACGCGGCTTCAAAGATATAGAAATTCCATTCGTGAACCGAGAGATATCCATCAAAGCCCGTTGTAAACTCCACCATCCTGTATATCGAACGAGCCTGTAAGGGTTAAATCTCTCCATTAATATTTAGTTCTCGAAATCTGCACGCTTCGAGATATGAAGAGAAATAAAGAAGAAGAAGAAACGTACGAATATCAACGCGCTAGCAGTATTAATAGCCATTAATAATTTCTTCCACCTCGTATCCGCCCGCGGATTCTGGAATCGTTGGGATATGAAATAGAATCTCAAGGATACGATGATGAAGAATCCAAAATATAATAACTGGATAACCAACCCAACTTTCATAATGCTGTAACCGCGTTGAGCAGTGCTAGCCACTTTAGAGATGGCGGAAATGGCGCCGAATACTTGGATCAGAAAGGCGATGACGTCGCATGTTACGAAAATGGGTGTCATCCATCGAGGTGGTACCCAGAGATTTTTGACGCTGCGGGCCGAGAGGGGTGTTGCGTGGAGGACTACTCGGCCCTGGGATCTGTGTTAGATTGTTGTGTGCTGATTTGAATGTGATGGCAAAATGTAGAAGTAAGTACATACCATTGCCATGTAACAAGACGCAGCCATAAGCGCCGGCGCGAGGAAAATGAGCGTAAATTGAACGATATAGGCATCTGATCCATTAGCCATGTTAATGTTCATGTTCATGTTAAAGTTTTCTGCTCACTTCTACTATCTGTGTTATATACCGAGTCTACTCGACCTATATATCCAATGGATTCCACTGTCCAGTGTTAGTAATGTATTCTGGCCCATTTTTGAGAGGCTGTGAAACATACTTGCTGCTGCTAATACCATGAATAACCAAAACCAACTTTTGAGCCATATGTACTGATATAATGTGTAGATGAAAGTGCCTGTGTATAGAATAGCGAATAGGATTGCAGCTCCTTTGGATGGATCGTATACATAGTAACTAGCGGCTGTGAAATGGAGTAAGCTTGTGGAACCGGTTATGGTTTTGAGATACGTACTCCTGGCGACCATATTGAAGGCGAAGATTCCGACGTACTAGATGTGAATAAGAAGGGTTGGAGTTCTTCTGGAGGTGATCGTCCGAACAGTTTTGGAATTCTAAATCTATTATGAATACAGAAAAGTAATTGGATGGAAGACGGAAGGCAACCAGCTGCAGCGAGTGACTATATTGCAAGAGCGGGGGATTGGGGAAACTGGGGCGATGTAATAAACTAGTATGAAGGCTCTAATAGATAATGATATAAACGGGATAGGAGGATAAGAGAACACTCTTCCGAATCATCCCAAAGCTTGAATCCATGCTAGAGCAAGGTATACACATGTCGATATGCATCTATGGACAGCATAGCTAGTACTAAGCGAGCTACCATTTGATTCTAACATAGCTCTTCCATTCCATATTTCGACGCGTCCTAACTCCTTCATTACCCTTTGGAGTGATATGGGATGACTCTCGAATTTGGCGAGATCTTATAGGTCAATGCACATCTGGGCTAGCTTCCAAGAAACTTCAACTGTTTCGCGTCCAATTAACTTTCAGAATTCGATAGGCAGGTGCCAAAATAAGCACTGTGATAGACGAGAACATGTAGATAAGGGCCAGTATTGAAGCTATGAATGAGACTCTGCCTTTGATAGTTTCGTATTCCTCGTATACACTACGGAACTGGGGAAAAGCGATTGCTCCAACGGACTTTCGGGAGCGGGCCATGAGCATCATCCGAAACCCACTTTTATATTGATATACGCGAGGGGAACGAAATTTCTGATCTATGATTGGTTGAGATGGAGAAGCTTATTGACTATGTCCAGAGGGATTGAAGATGTGGCAAGGTCCGTACGAGTGGATCGAGAAGGGGAGAAAATTGTGATGTGTGGGGATAAACATTAACATCATATTCCCCTCGAGATGAATAGGACGACTGATCCGAGCCTCGCTGACCTCATGGAATTCCAAGAACCAGTTGTGTCGTCAATGATATTCCTTGGTTGACTTCCTCGCGACGAGTCGAACTATAAACCTGCCCTGGATTCACAAGTTTTTCCAGAACCTTCTTCACTTTTCTTACAATGCACAGTACGACACCGTGTTGAAGAACTTCCTACATAATACGGTCAGCTCAGTTGAAAGATTTCAGTAAACGCGAATGAGGCAATGTCTCTGAAATCCCGAGATATTGAAGTATTTGTGGTCAAAGTCCCTCAAACTAATAAACGGACCACAGACTCCTTGTACAGCTTCGATATCGAAAAAGTACTGCGATATGAGAGTGAATACGAGGTCCATTTCTAGCTCCAGTGCCAGCTCCAATTTCAGACAATAAAACAGCCATCGGAGCAAACGAGATATGCAACAAAACAGTGAGAAGAGAAGAGTGAATGAAAACTAGATGCAGATCTAAGTCCAGAACCTGATCCAGCCAATAGTATGAGATCCGCAAAAAAAAGATATTAGAATGTGAAAAGATTCAACATGAACGTTTAGAATCGGTTCGGCCAACGAAATACCTACCACACCAGGACCAATACTGTACTAAGTATTTGAAGCTACAATGAATCAAAAACACAACGGGATTGTGCCTCAATGTACATACGGCGAATGATACACGGAAAGCAAATCCAACTTAATGTGATATCTCAAACCATTCACACAACAATCATCCAAAGGTAGGACATATAAGCATACCTGCCTTCCAACACAAGAATCATCAAGTTCGAAACCTGGCATCAACTTCTCCGCAAAACAAACAGATACATATCAGCACCGCACAAATAAGACTTTCATCATCAGTACATCATGGCGCTTTGGCATTGCTCCAAGTGCAAAGCTTCTCTACTTACCGGTGAGGACGAAACACCTCGATGCGATTCGTGCAATATCGCCATGAGTTATCAGTCAGCATATAATTACTCTGGCCTCGTGAAAGAGAGTAATTGCGGTTCAGTGGAGGGGGCACCGTTCAAGAAGTGAGATCGGCTCGAGATTAGATGTATCAGAGTGAGCATCTAGTGTTGAATATCTACATTTTCAAAGTACTTAAGCTTGTCGTTCTTCCATGTCCCCTCAAACTGTATGTACAGTGTGGCACACCAAGGTTGGATTACATCGGAAAACTCATCTGCATAGTTCTTGCTTAGTTGATCTGATCACGGTGGAGGAACATCGGGGAAGTAAGAACGAAAGAAGACTCTTCAATGTACAGTTTCAGACGTTTTTTTTTAGGCATGATCGTTAGCACAAGACTAAGCCCTCTTCAGACTAAGGAACATACCTCTTCCAATTTTCATATTTTGATTGATATCTTGAAGTGAGCTGTAGATGCGTGAGATGTTTGGATAGTGAAATTTCGTAGTATGTCGACTTTAAATCCCTAAAATCCTCACAAATCAAAAGAGACTCCTGACTCCTCTTTCATCATAAATCATTAATTTTTTGACCATCTATTCCATCTCGTATCCTAGAGATGAGCAAAAGTATAACACCAAGCTATGTCTGCCAATAAAGCCAATGAAATTATGGAAATTGACACAAATATGATACATAGCTTAGCTACACTTTAGACATGGTAATTTCTAATACAAGATTTCTTTCAACATCTTACTTTCGAACACGGTTTTCTATTTATCTATCTCTGCCTTTACGCGTATGCAGCCCAACCTATGGGTATTAGTTAGCATTTGTTTAAAGAGATAAGCTCGCTACGACATATGGGAAGCATAGAGGGACAGAAGAGAAATGCAGAACATACCTGAATACAAAACCGCCAGATTCCTCTCATCACTCGCTTGATTGATCAAATCATTGACTGTAGCTTCCACACTTAATGTTTTGGACAACTTCTTGTTAACCACGGTCAAAGCTTTATCAGCCTCACTGGGTTGATTGACTGCTTGCTTTTCGACACCTCTCTCGTGTCCTATACCGAATTCAGGTGCAACACTTTGCGCCACCTGCAGTTTTGCGAGTCGTACCGGCGATATAGACCAGCTGTACAATGGATCATATCGCAGAACATCAAGGATCGTCATAATACTATAGACTTCTTTACGCAAAGCGGAAAGAGTGAATTCACAGCATCTTCGAAACACACCTTCGGTTTTCGTAATGCCCATTCCGTCGACAATATCGCGAGTGAGGCGGAAAGGTACTAATTCAGGGACCGGAAGAACCCGACCCATTTCAAAAGCCACACCAAGATCAATATGTACCACTTCACCGCTTTCAAAATCAAGAAGAATATTGT